ATGTCAATAGAAATACAGTCATAGAAGAAAGTTAAAAATCATCGGTGAATGAAGTATATATTTAGCTTAAATATCAAAAAAGCAAGCGTTGGCCAGTCGAGTCGAGACTAAAATGAAATATGAAGATAACGAACAATAAACTCAATAGTCTAATGAAACAATACAAATTGTGAGCAGAGCAAACGCGGACCTCTGAAAATATCAGAGGTGGGATTAGATGCCAAGGAGGAGTAAATATCCGCTGTTGACTGGTCACACCCGCTGTGTGCTATTTGTCATAATTGGGTAAACGGTGAAATCCGTAGTCAATTCAGTGTGAAAATACATAGTGGCCTAGAACGACGTTAGTCAACATTCGACCTATCGACAAATTGAATTTGAAAATAAGGTTATTGTATCGACCATAGAATTTGTGAAATGTTAACTTCAAACGAGATTGTAGATACTTTTATCATCAATTTGTTCGTAAGTTGCCTGCCTCGTTTTAGAAATGGTTCATACGAAGAACTTCCTCTTGTGCAATAAATTAACTGTAAGACATAAACCCCTTATGAAGGCGCTAATGGTATAAGGGAAGTTAACGATAGAAAAGTTGAAATCATCACGTTTATAAACAGATTTTTATCAGACTCCGCTGTCAAGTTCTACTTGAATTTTTCGAGTTTCTTTGATTACAAGTTCCATACATTTCTAGCATCTTTGAATGATAATGTAAAACAGTGTGAAAGGTAAATGTTTAAACATTTGATTAAATATGGCTGATAAGACATGAACGAGTACTCTGTAGCATTTGCAAATTATCGCAATGAAGATAGCAAAGTACTCCACAAATACGTGTGTATTTTTGATGTTCCAACAAAAAATATAAATACCTGCAATATGCGTAACAGATATAAAATCAGATTTCAACCAGAAAGAATATTGTTCTTTCACTAATGATTTGATATTTATTTGAAATTCGAAATCTTCTCTTGCAAACCTGACTCAGATTTTGTTTTAAATTCAATTTATATTATAGGATGTACACGTGCAAAATTTGATTCAAAATTTCTGCAATGTATACCCTCCATGTAGATATAATACATTTTCTATTTTTGTCTACTTCTTAATACAAAACAAACTTTCTCGCAGATTTTCATTGGTAACTTCCAATAACTACGCGTTAAAATACACACAGTTCCTACGAGTTTGTGTAATCTAGATTCCTTAAAATATTACCGTGTCCGTAATAAAACCTCTACCCTTTGGTTCATGGCAGTTCGTTTGGAGTCACCAGGTGTACTGATAGAAACAGATCGATAATTAATCAATCGGACATAGGTAAAGTTCAAAAAGTTGGCCGTAGTGTACCAGTGGAATGAGTGGATGAATTTAGGGTCAGCTAGGTCGCAACAAAATGCAAAACACGTGTTTTTTGTGAAAGCAAGACTTCATTATTTAATGTTCCTTAATGTTGATCATCTGAGGCCCTTTTCACAAGGAAAATAAAATTTGAAAATTCTGTGATTTCAATTTTATCTAAAAGATTATTCACAATGTATTTTAATGTAATAGGAATATAAGATATTCTGTGTCCTATATTTTGGAGATTTGGTAAAGTCTTATTCGTAAATGTAAGATATTTTGTAAAAAGGTCCACTGATTTGTTCTTAATAGGTTTTGTTTATATATTCGGATTTCTCTTGCTATATAATATTCTTCATAATTTCAGAAGTATTGGTGGAATTATAAAGGGCAATCTAATCCAAAATACCAGTACGCTAGAATAAACAAAAACAAAAGGTTTTGTATATTATTAAGTGGATGCATTAAAAATCCAGTATATTCCAAATTTTGTCCTATGTGTATTTAATTACGCTTCTTAATCCCGTCCTACATTTATTTAGTTTAAATTAGAAGAGTTAGTGGGTTTTTTTTTTTATTAACTGTCATTGTTAAGTGTTACTTCTTGCCACCAGGTGCTCTCTAATTACATTTGTTATCGTTTACATGTAAAACTTTTTTTTCAGGGTACATTTGATCCAAGAGAACTTTGGAGATTGTTTGATTGTAATTTATGACTTCTTCAAGGTAGTCTGATCTATGTGGTAGCTTGATTCTACAGAACATCAAAATCATGTCTGTTTCCACATTTCCTTACTATGTTGTTTTTACTTCTACAGATTTTTTTTTTGTTCCTAAAAGACTTTTTTATGTTTTACCTTTTCTCCAAAACTTTCTGCAGGATGTTTCGAAATCGTTTCTGTTTCTACAAAACTTTTTCAGCTTATTTTTGCCGTTCAAAATCTTGGGTGGGTCTTATTTTCCACAAACCCTTTTCAGTTCAAAGTCTATCGGTTACCATAAAACGTATACGTTCTAAATCTACGTATAACGCAGATCTATATGTCATTTTGCAGGATTAGTGTTCTTGTCGTTCTTTCAGATTTACATTCATCATGATCTTAATTGCAGAAGTTGATGCAGATAAGTGTTTCATGCGTGGAAATCTCCCTAACAAATGCATGCATTTATATCTATATCAATGTATTAGTAAGTATACTCTCAGCCAACCAAGCCATCATCCCTCAGGTTGAGTAAACTTACTTAAAAATTACAAAATTTTTAATTTGAATTTTTTAAAATTTATATATGATAAGATTAAGAACATAGACGTCATCAAAGAAGATGATTTGAAGGAAAGATGCACTGTAAGCAAGTGTGTGTTAATATTTGCACTTGGGTTTGTTTCTAAATTATTTCTTCAAATATTTGACAATGAAAAGTGATCTGTTCTCATTCAAACAGTTTGTTGTTTTATTCTAATCACCACTATTGATAAAAATTCGAAGTTCGATATTACTGAAAGCTATGGTTTTTTTCTTGCATGAACATAGGGTTATAGAATGTGAATTCTGTAATTCCAGAAAAGAAAACAGATTATTTGTATGCTTCTTGAGTACAACCATTTTCGGCTGACGAGAGATTCATACCTAAGTTTGACAAATAATCGATAGAAAAGTATCCGAGCTGTCACTTAGCATAAAAGATCCTTTAATCCACTACTTTACCACAAGGAGTAGGGTAAACATAGTGTACGTCAACGCATCACATTTCCAGACGGGTATGCACTTATAAAGCTGTACTTTTGTTATCAAAATCCTCCTTGCAACGAACATCACAAATTTTATCGATTTTTAATATATTTACGCAATTCAGTGCATCTGTGAGATTTGATTTATATTAACGGGACTTTAAGAATTTAAGGGGAAAAACGTTTATAAAGAAAAACGTAGTGTAAGGTAACTTTGGAGAGTGTCTTCCAAATCTCTCATTGCATAAAAACATCTACCTCTTCAATTTAACGTTTATTTTAAAAAGCCTTCAATTAGGAATATATATTTGAAATTTATTAATGACATTGCCATAAACACATTTTTAAAGACGTATTATCAAAGCGTTTAGAAAATCTTTTTTAAAAAGGTAGAGATACTTCGAGAGCTATAATTTACATGACAGACATGTAAAGTGCATTTATAATGAAGTGAAGAGTTCACTCCTTCCATAACCATGCGATGATGTTGATTTTGTACTGAATGTAATGGAGTGAATCAATTAAATGTCAAGACAGGTGTATTGTAGATCACTTCAACATTTTCCGCGCCTATCAGTTATCGACACAATATTCCTTTTAAACATGATTTGATTTCCTTTGTGATTCAATCAAAAAATCAGGAAGCTCGTTAGTTCATGTTTAAATGACTAGGAAATATGTCTATGTATACCGCATATACATTTAAAATTAATGACGTGCATGCGCCTTTTCAAACATATCTACCTTTGCAGTGAATACACTAAAACATTGTTTTCCATTTTTGTCATCAGCTGAGAGTTTTAAAATTGTCTGTACTTAGATCGATGGCCTCTATCGTGTCAATGACGTCACCAAAAACCAATTAAAGGCTCTAAGTTTTATAACTTTAATTCCTGTCTAAATTAAATAAGCGACTGACATACCATCTAGAGTTGTGAATGAAATTGAAAATGATTGATCGGTACGCTATTGTCCAATAGGACACAATCAACTACATCTATAGACTACATGATACAATGGCTTATAGTCTCCCTTGAAATTGGGACTTGACAGACATACCGTCATCATCCTCACAACGTCATGATTAGAGGTCCTGATCGAGTCCATGTGTGGACTCGGGACCCCTTTCACGTGGACTCGTGGGGATGTACCGTCATTTGCTTTTAATCATATTGACAACTCATCCCTTTTATATGTTTGATTGGGAGATCGAGCTATGCCAGAAAATGAGAGCGTATTTTTAACAGGGATGAATCCAGCTTTTATTTCAATACAGGAAATAAAATTTTCAGTCAATGACGATTATTTCATGTTTATACTGTCTGAATATTAACACTGTTGAAAATTGTCTCTTTTTGAGATACTGCTACCAATAGTAAACATTGGTAGTCTTTTAAACGGTCGAGGAAAAAGGGTTAATTTTTTATATTCAAAATATTTCAATAATGTACTAAAAAGTTATTAATTAATTTTAAAAAATCTATATATCTCTCAAATATTTCTATGTGAAATAGAGTCCGATTATTTCTAATATTTTGTATATTAACAACACTTCACACAATAGGAAACATGTAAGTGGTAAAACTACTGATCCAAAATAATGCGGAGTTTGTGAATTAAAACAGATGCGGGGAGGCTTTCCTTTCTCCGTCCTACCCTGCGCCCTATGACCCTGCATGGCCAGATGTGTACATGTACATGACCAAAGAGAGATAACTGTGCATTGTACATGTACATGCATATTGTTTTCATATCAAAATAATCGAATCAGATCAGATGCATTTATGTTCGACGTTTATTATCTATATGACTTTTAATATAAATGACTTAAAAATGATTAAATGAACATCAAAGTAAAGTAAACCTCATTCTGTTTATAGTCAACATTCCGGAAATCAATATTCCGTTGAAGGCTAACAGAAAGTGTTTACGTTGTATCTTCCTTTTTCCGGTTGCCATCCACATAAGGTTATTGAAATAAACTTTTAACCTACAAATCTAGCATTATCTATTGAATCGTTCAGTTTTATTTTCAAAAGGTCATTTATTTGCAATCTGCAGGTATAAAAGATACTTTATTAAGTGTTTTAATGAAGATGGCTTATTCTTTTCTCAATATATCTGTTCTTGTTTACATGCTGTGCCATGAGAGTTCGATGTTTTTAAACTAGTTGTTGAGTTTTTTCCGAATCTAAGTCGTAAATTTGAAAATTAAAATTCATTAAACATGCTAATATTTTCAGTTGTCAACAATGTATATAATTTGGCGAAGTGTAATGTTGAATGTTGAATACTTTAATGTGGGTACTCATCAAAATCCATTACGGACATTTAGTGACAAGGAAACTATTTACATGCGTGCGGTGGAATTGCAGTGTCCAAAAATGGCTAACCCGAACATATATACAGGTCTAATCTCGGCGAGATCCGTAGAGGCTAAAAAATTTGGTCTGGTGTCTCTACGGATCTCAGACTAGTGTCACATAATCTCATTCGGGGTTTCGTGCCCAGACTTTGACTGCTTGTTTTGATTAATATGGACTGAAATGAATTAGCTGTCCACTTCAACTTTTTGCTTTGGATATCCTTTTAATTCCCTATCACCATAAAACTTTCGTTTCTTACCTCTGAAAGGTTTAAATCCATCTAAATGTAAAGTTGTTGATTTTTCATAGCAATAAGCTATTCGTTTAAACCTCCGATGCTGAAGAGTTCCAGCAATAGTCTGCTTCAAATACTTTGTTCTACTACTATTTCCTATAGAAATGAACCATAGTAGTAAGTATTTGAATGAAATAACAAAGAAGACCAGTTCTGGTGAACATGATGATTGATTAGTAATTATTCAGCACAATGTGGTGTTATCATACTTATCCATGCCTTACCGCTCACAAGGTAGTGTACAGTTACTCAAAGTTCCTGAAGAAAAGATGGTATCCAAACTTTGTAAGGGAATGGTGGGTTAGAAATTGATTAGATGTGTCAAATTTTCAGGCAGCTGAACTATTATCAGGACTTGCTCTTGGTCCTGTAGACTAGTGTCTCCTTGCTATTTAATTGAAATATGGTAGCACTTGTGACACATTCTCAATCATTTAATTAGAGGAATTATGATCTTTTCTGAGCTTTAGGGATATCATAGGTGCATGTTTACTTTTACCGTAAATATTATGTTCAGATTATCAATGAGTTGAAAGGTTCTGGAATGAAAAGATGTGGAATACAAATTTTTTTTTCAGTAGCCAACTAAATAAGTTATATACAGTAAAACACAGTTACAACAAACATCCTTATGTCATGTATAATGAATTCATGTAAGAGTGAAAGAATTTCATATTCCCTGTAGTATAAAAACATTTACTGGTAATGCTTAATAGATATAATGAATTACAGTTATAATGGATCAAATTGTTCATCCCTGGCACTTTGCTGTAAGTGTGTATTACTCAATACTGTACCTTTTGTTTTAAACACATGCAGTAATGACACAATTTTGTTTTGAACACTTGCAGTAATGGCTCCAAGAACCAAAGGGTCAAAGAAAGGGGACAAAAAGGTGTTGACAGAAGTCATCACAAAGGAGTGTACCATTCACCTTCACAAGAGGATTCATGGAATGTAAGTCATTTAGCACAGATAGTTTAGACCTTAAATTAATATGTTGACATTGCGACCATGAGGGCGAGCGCAGATACCTTTTCCATGTTTTCAGTGTACTGTGTATAAACTGTATTTAGACCTGTCTCTTCAAACCACACGTGACATTTGATATATCTAGACTCTGATGTCACATGACGTTGTATTTAGGTTGCATTACCAAACCAAAGCCATTAGTGCTGATTTTAATGAAGAACGTTTTATTTACTATTTTATCTGCAATATATCCATTAAATCATAGGGATATACAATTTTATCGATTTACCAGTATATCCTGATTTTTAATTGCACAATACATATTGTGATACAGAGACTAAAATACTGGTATTTAGAACATAATTAAAAATTTTGGAAATCATTCATTCATTTGTTCAAACATTTGAATTACAATTACTGGAAGTGTAAACAATGTTGTAAAATAACGACATTCTAGCATCCAAACATGCTTTGATATATATGAAATAATATAAAAAGAAAATGAAGTTACATTTTTACAAAATATTTGTCAGAAAAATTATGGAGATTTATTTATTAATTTAAAATCATAGGTAAAATTGCATGTAAAAATATCATGATATTATCTTGATATTTTTTAGAAAAAATCATTGTATATCACGATACGAAAATTTTTGCAATACCTATCCCTATTAAATCAAGGCAAGTTTATTTTTTTTGTAGAACTTTTGTTGTTATTCTCGCAATGCATTGTTGGGCCAGAGTTAATGCAGAAAAAATTCATTTGGATCAATGTGCAGAGTCCGAATTTTCTCTTTGCCCAGGCATTGCTTTAAGAGCTAGCAGTGATGAGCGGCGCTTCATGCTGCTCTCTGCACTCGCTATAAATGTATAATGTATGCCTTTTTTCATGGAAAGACATCTCTGTTATGTGAGAGAGTGTTATGTGAGAAGAAGTCTTGTTTATTAACAGTGAATATCATAACATATATTGAGAAGTGCTAATTTCTCATTTCTTGCTTAATGAGTGATTTTGAGAGACAGTTACCAGAATTTGTATATTGCAAAGGCTTTTCAAATGAATTGATTTTATTCCAGTGGATTTAAGAAGAGGGCACCCCGTGCTATCAAAGAAATTCGCAAATTTGCTGAAAAGATGATGGGCACCCCTGATGTTCGAGTAGACACAAGACTTAACAAACACATCTGGTCTCAGGGCATCAGGTAGGAGGTCTAGATAGAGACAAAATTAAATTAAATGAGGTTTGTCCATAAAGTTTGTAGATTAATGCTTTAATTTTCATAATCATGATCACTGCCAAGCACGTAAGATAATATTTTAATGTAGACTATGATTCTGTAATTAAATAAAAATTAAAGCAAAACACTCTACAATCTAATTAAAATTAGATGTTCCGAATCCGCTACTGCTTCTCAAACATCTAACAACATCCCACTAGGGGTCACGTCAGAGCGACCTTTCGATTATGAATAAGATTCAACCTTCTGTATACGATTCTAAAATTAGTTCCACGGCTACATTTTTACATTATTGATTTTCAGTAGACTGTCTTATGTTGAATTAAAGTAATTTTGGTATAAATTGAACGTATAGTCCGCCAATCTGGCATTCTTACCTAAATAATGCAAACGAAAATGAAAAAATTACATGTATACGTCTATATATCCCGCACGTCACATTCACATATAGCACGGTCTTTCCCATGCATATTTTGTTTACTACGAAACCCCTCGGGCGTTTAGGTTTGGCAGTAAAATAAAGAAACGCATCCGAACTATAAGCCAAGATTTCAGAGACGGCGATTTCATTGGGTAATCGAAAGGTCGCTCTGACGTGACCCCGAATGGGATGTTGTTAGATGTTTGAGAAGCACTTGTGGATTCGGAACATCTAATTTTAATTAGATTGAACACTCTATTTTATGAAACCTATAGGTGTAAATACTTTGTATATGCAACCACACAGCCAAGTCTTAAGCTAGTTTCTAGATAATGTAAAAAAAATATGGGTTTTGAAATTCTGTCATATGTTTGTGGACTGTGTTTCTTATTATGCCTCACTTCCCAGTGTTTCCCATAATTTTGAAATTCATTTTTGGGAGTCAAAGAGAATTTTTGAGGGTCAAAATATATTCTGGTTTTGCTTTCAGTTCTTATATTAGCTATGCTTCCTCACATCATAATTTTATATTTAAAAAGGTGAATGTTAAATATTATAGTACTTGTTCTTTTATTTATGCATTTTACCAATTCCGCTATTTGGGTTTCTTGGAATACGCATCAATCAAGTGGCAACATCTTAAAGTTGTTTGAATGTTTTGCAAAACTGTTCATTAATGATTTGAGCTTAGCTGACCTTTCTACAACCAACATCAGCCTTTTTGACAATGCCAAACTGAAATAAATATGCCGATGTCATATGTGATATTTTTATTCAGATTTTCGGTTTTGTTAAGAATTGGATAGATCGTTCAAAAATTTAAATAGATTGTTGACATTGATATATAATTCCAATATCTTTCGCTAAGTATTATTCCCAAGACATAGGATGTTTATGAAGTCCCAAATTTCCCCCAGACAGAGGATGTTTATGAAGCCTCAAACTTCCCCAGACAGAGGATGTTTATGAAGTCCCAAACTTCCCCCAGACAGAGGATGTTTATGAAGCCCCAAACTCCCCCCTTTATGAAGCCCCCAGACTTCTCCCAATGCCCTGAAACATTATTTTATTTATTTTTGTTGACTTATTTTTCAAAAAAATTCTGACATATTGCATATCATTTTACTCAGGAATTATTTATATTTTAAACAATGGCAAGAACATAAGTGATTTTTAATCATCATAGCAGAAAATTTATCAATAAAATTACGGAAGATCAGTTATGAAATAAAATTAGAATTTTTGACTGACTAGTAATTTTGAAAATATATAAAAGTGTCATGAGGTTTCAAAGATTGAGAGTAAATTTGCTTGCTTGATTAAATGAACAGGTTGGGGGGAAACGTAAATTCCGCTATAATAGTGGTATACCACTATTATAGTGAGATTCCGCTATATTTTCAGCCGTAGTTGTCCTCGATTTCATCAAATAACATACTTGCTGTTTAAAGCGCAAGTTATGATGGGAATGAAAATGAACAATAATTGGCATCCTTACATATTATGAATTTTATTTAATTTTCTGCCGATGCGTTTGATAATGCGAACACACTTTTTAAAGCGGAAGTTACATTTTTAACATAGCAACCAGTGATTGCGGTATTATTGAACAAAGACTGACTCTTAATATCTCTCACACATGTGCACATATTAGTGCTTGTAATAACTTTCAACTCATTTTGGAATAGGTTTGTCGAATTTATAGAAGAAAAGGTGATTTTTGCCTGCATGGTAACGGGTACGGAGGCCCGTTATGACAAATGAAAAAAAAAGCTCAGCACATGTACAATTTAATGGAACCGATTTGTGTCGTCTAAATTGTAAGCAATATATATGATATGTCACTTTTCGAAGTAATCTTAAGTTTGTGTATAATGTTTCCCTTCTTGATGATGAATCCATGAATTTAAATGATTATTCTTAGCAAGAAAAGAAGAATTACACTTGTGCATGGAATTACCTGTAGACGTGACGTAAAATAAATTCTGCATGATTTATTGATTCTCTAACTTGCATGAAATTTTATATTTAACTACGATATGCACTGGAAAAGAAACAATGAAATCCTATTTACGAGAAGTAGATTATTCTGTTGTAAATAAACGAAATACAAGGAGAAACAGAAATATGAAGATAACGAAAAAAGGCCATTTGAGCAATAATTTTTTTGCAGAGCAAATAGGTAGGATAAGGTGCTATGGAGGAGTACGCATCCCCTGTCAAGCATGGACTTTGCAAAATTCATTTATTAATAGTTATCATGAATTAGTGCATTGTTGTCTCGCCACAGCCGCTAAAATATTAAGCCCGCTTTTTTAACTACAAAGAAGCCATTATATACACATTGAATTGTTTTCGCATACGGTTATTTTTTTGTTTTTTTTTTTCCTATCACGACAAGGAACACACTTGTCGGCAGGGGATGCTCACTCCTCCATGACACCTGATCCCATCTTTGATGTTTTTTAGAGGTTCGTGTTTGCTCTGTTTAAAATTTGCATTGTTTCAATGGACTTTTGAGATCGATTACTGTTTGTTATCTTCATATTTCATACAGTATTTCAAGCAAATTGAAAAAAAAAATTGAACCCATTTAATTTATTTTCTGTCTTAAAGTGCAAAAATTTGAGTGAATTACATTATATTTTTCTCACATCTATTTATTTATTTTCTGTCAGAAAATGTACAAAATTAAGTGAAATCAATCATTGCATTTTCATCGATTTATTTATTGTATTTTTCTGTCTTAAAGTGTATTAAATTCTACAAAACACAGGTATATCTAAGTTGGGATGTAATTAACATAAATGTTATAAACACAAATGAACGTTCAACTCATTTTGTTATTTGCAAGCGGGAATAGGTGGATTTGTGATTTAAAAATAAGGGGGGGAATAGGTGGAAGACCCTCTTAAAACCGAGACCCCTTGTTGTTCGTAATGTATATCGAATCAATAATTTAAAACATTAATCCCACATGCAGGTAATATGGTATGTTGCTACATAATAAGGGAAGTTGACGATAGAAAAAGTAGTTATCACATGTACCATGTAAGTTTAGTTATTAGTTTGCCATCAATCTCTTTCTCTAGTAAAATATTTAAGGAAAGAAGCAGATGCGTCATACTTCCTGGTGTCTTTTATTAATAATTTTCAACATACTTCTATTTTTTGAAAATGCAGCTATATCATAACTAAATGAACATTTAATTAATTTATGTTTCGCCATTACGTGGTTTAATCATAATACATGTATTAAGCACCAATGTTTCTTCTGAGAAATTATGCCAAATATTCCCAACAAAAATCGCTTATACATATAATTTTTGAAATAGTTTTTAAAAAGATTTTTCTTTTTTTAATCTAACTTTACTTGTCATAATACAAAAATTAATATTTCAAAAAATTTTGTTTAACTTTCCGGAAACTTATGTCATATAATGTATATGTAATTACCTGCAGAAATGACATCTTATATCATTGTTTACGATTTATTGCAAAAACTATACAAATCGGTTTCATCAGAATAAAGTAAACATGTAATGAGCTTTTTTTGTTTGTCATAACGGGCCTCCGTACACGTCACCATGCAGGCAAAAATCATCTTTTCGTCTGTAAAATCGACAAACCTATTCCAAAATGGGTTGAAAGTTATTACAAGCACTAATTTGTGCACATGTGTGAGAGATATTAAGAGTCAGCCTTTGTTCAATACTACTTCAATCACTGGTTGCTATGTTAAAAATGTAACTTCCGCTTTAAAAAGTGTGTTCGCATTATCAAACGCATCGGCAGAAAATTAAATAAAATTCATAATATGTAAGGATGCCAATTATTGTTCATTTTTATTCCCATCATAACTTGCGCCTTAAACAGCAAGTATGTTATTTGATGAAATCGAGGACAACTACGGCTGAAAATATAGCGGAATCTCACTATAATAGTGGTATACCACTATTATAGCGGAATTTACATTTCCCCCCAACCTGATGAATATGGAAGCATTCTCAGTTAGTTTAGATTCAAAAGTTGTTCAAATCATAACCCCCAGGAAGTGTGGGAGAAAATTGTGATATTAGTCTGACTTTGAGAAATTGGTAACTTCTTGAGATTGAATTAAGTTCGAGACATTGAGGGCCACTGGTATAGATATTTTGTTCAGGGCAGTAATTGCAGTGGTTTAAAGGATAGCTCTAACTGAATTAATTATAATCTTGACTGTTACAATGAGACAAACAGCTTGGACAAGAAACCAGTACTAAGTGAGAAATTCTTGTTGGTAGGCATCTGAAAAGTGAATAATAACAAGTCTGACAGGCTTCTTAAAGATATTGCTGCTGGAAAAATAAATGATTGCGAGACAAGTTTCATACATGTAGAAAATGATGGAAATTGAATTAGTGTTGTGATACATATTCTATAAATTCTGGAATAATACACATTTATGATGTTTCCTTAGTTAACAGAGTTTAATGTGAAAAGAAAGTCTGGCGAAGGAATTTGTGAGCTTGTAAATTTGTGAAACCATCAGCCCAAAAGGCTGATTAAGAAAGAACTTCTCTCATGTTTTGTGTTTGAAAATGCTGTAGTTGACAAAAAGCTCTCTTGGACTACAATTATCAATTTCTGTTTGTAGAAATGTTCCATACAGAGTTAGAGTAAGACTGGCACGCAAGAGGAATGAAGATGAAGACTCTGTACATAGGCTGTATACCCTAGTCACATATGTGCCCTGTGCTTCATTTAAAGGTAAAGTACAGATGTATAGTAAGGCAGTATGACTTAGTCACATATTTGCCTCGTCCTTTATTTTAGGGATGTTTTTAGTCATGGTGTGAAAATCACACAGACTTGTCATGTAAACATATTTCATGAAGTGCCATGCTTCATGAAAAATATGCCTGTAAGCAAGTATGTGTGATTTGCATACCAATAACATTCACAAACTTAAAAAGTCCTTATATTTGCATTTTACATATTTTAAAGCAACAGATATACACTTTCAAAAATACACTTTAAAATTCAAAGAAGACAGCATTATTTCTGGAACAGAACTGTGTCTAGGCGAATTCAAAACGGGGCGAAATCGTTTGCAGGTGTAAAAGGGTGAAAATAAGACGGGGCGAAAATAACCCTGTATACAGTACCCATTTTGATTGGAATGTGTATAGTAAAATAAAATTGGTTACATTGGGATCTGTTAATTATGGTGGCATATTTCTGCCCCTTGTGTGCAAGTTATTTTTCTATCAAATATGTCGACATGCAAGATAAATATGTTGACATGCAAGATAGTTATGTCAACATGCAACATAACTGTTGACATGCAAGAAAATTGTAATCAAATAAAAATTATAAAAAATCTTCAAAAATCTCAAATATTGCCCACATGTGACGTCCAACATGCTAGATGCTACTTATTTATGTCAACATGCATTTTATTTATGTTAACATGCGAGATAAATATGTTGATATGCAACTTATTTATGTTTACATGCAACTTATTTATGTCGACATGCATCTTGGTTATGTTGACATGCGAGATAAATATGTTGACATGCAACATATTTATGTCGACATGCAACTTATTTATGTTTACATGCATTTTTCAGATACAGTTCTACTATGACCTTAATCTTAGACCTTAAAACATAGTTCAAGGTCACTGCACACCCTTTAAAAGAGACCTCAGACGAACAGATGGACGGACGGACACACTAATTACTATAGGTAGCCTGCAGAGAAGGGCCCTAAAAACGTTTTATAATCTATGGTCACGTTCTGAATCGTCAGGACATTTTATCTAAGGAAATCCAATTTATGCTTTGTTGTCCACCTCATATTATAGAAAATAATTTAAACTGCAATATTTGCTTAAATAAATTTTCGATCATTAAAATCAACTTCAATTTTACCGACAGAAAAATATAAAACAGAACCGTGCCTCATTGCACGTGTCTTGGGTAGTAACGAATCTGCACGCTCACACAAATGTTCAAATTGTGTATCACATAACTTCTTTTGCATTCAAATTTAATCATTTAATTCAAAATCTTATCATTTTGAAAAATTGATCATATTCTATAAAGTATATATCCAAAATGAAATCACAAATCGATCATATTCACTGTAAACTCTTTTGGGATTCATGAGTCTTAAGATTTTTGGATATTTACTTTTTTAAAATCATATATATATATATATATATATATATATATATATATATATATATATATATATATATATATATGTATATCCGCTACTCAACATAACTAAGTTGCTTGTCAACATATCTATTTCGCATGTCAACATAACTAAGTTACATGAACAAATTGCATGTTGACATAACTAAGTTGCATGTTGACATAAATAAGTAGCATGTTAACATACGTAAGTTGCATGTTGACATAAATAACTTGCATGCCAACATTTTTATTTCGCATGTCAACATAAATAACTTGCATGTCGACATAAATAAGTAGCATCTAGCATATTGGAAGTCACATGTGGGCAATTTTTGAGATATCTTAAAGATTTTTTATAATTCTTATTTTATTGCAATTTTCTTGCATGTCAACATAGTTATGTTGCATGTTGGCATAACTATCTTGCATGTCAACATATTTATCTTGCATGTCGACATATTTGACAGAAAAATAACTTGCACACAAGGGGCAGAAATATGCCACCATAGTTAATTGAATAACGAGGAAAAACCTAAAAAAGTATAAATGGTCATTTACACAAAACTTAATGTGCTCATAGTAAGCAGAATATTGTATTACATTACACATGAAACTGAAAGTAATTGAGTGCAGTTGGTGTTTTTTTTTTATTGTAGTCAATTGTCTCTCTTGAAATGTTTAGAGGGGCAGGGGTATGCATTTTGTAATGGGTTTAAATTTTCTCTGTTTTCATAACACAAATATTTTGATGTTTTTTCCTTGTTTAATATCTTTGTTTTTATTTTGTAGGTACACAGACCATAAATGTTGATAATGAATAAACATGTACAGAGAATGATAGGGGTTGTGTTGCTTCTTTTCTATTACAAGAACACTGTGTGGTTTAAACAACACGTACTACCCTGCAGGATTAATCAAATTAGTCCTATACATGTATGGATATCAGGCACATTGTCTAAATATATGTATTTACAGTTGATGAAAAGGGTAGTGGGTGATGTTGAAAGGAATATACAAAATGTATTGCTAGGAATTGAGTGGATAAGAGCCCCCCCCCCCCCCTCACCTTTGTTGAAAAATTTTTTTTTTTGTTTTCAGGTGATTTAAAAAATGAAAGAAAACCAATTTTCCAGCAACCCTGTTCAAGCCCATTGTAAGAAATGTTGTTTCTGACACGGCATCTAGAAAACTAACTTGTTTGAGAGTGGTGCAATATAAGGTGCATCAAGTGATGGCAGGCTGAATTTCATCGTCGCAAGCCACGTGTTTTGTGTCCATTCTATTTCCACAAACCCGTGGCTGTCTCCTTCAAATTTCTCTCGTTCTCATGAATATTAATAACGTACATTCAACCAATGGAATAACATCTGACGCTTCAAGTCAGAACCAATGAAAATGATCAGTCTATCTTGTATTTGGATGTAACTATAACCACGAGCTCTACATCAACTTCGGTTCGAATTTCCTTTCTTAACGAGTAACGCTATTCAGCGTTCTCACACAACGTCTACATTCGAAACCCTGTATTTTAAAGTAAAACCTTGTAAGTATTTTAGAATATACGTTATTCACCTCTGTTCTTCAGGATCTATCGTATTTTTTTTCCAATAAATCTGTCACGCATAGCAAACATGATTTCATTATGGGCGCCGCCATTTAAAGCGTACCAAAAATTGCTACAGAGTGATTAAATATGGCGTCACTTAATAAATATTCAATGATTCAGTCGCGACAACGAGAGAATTTGGTAGGAGGCAGCCACGGGTTTGTGGAAATAGAATGGACACAAAACCCGTGGCTTGCGACGATGACTGAATTTGGGAGAGCACTTGTTATAGAGAGAGAGAAAAAAATTAAATTTGTGGAAGGTTTTTTGACCATGGAGACTCAACCCATGAAAATTTAATGCACAAACTTGAAAAGCCATCTCTTCAAAGAATTCTTTATATAGATGTAGAACATGCAGGTCCCCGTAATTTAGTCATTATATAACCCTTAAAACATAACAAAGTTTACGAATCCCAGCTACATGTACATGTCAGCAATGTTTTACAGGATAATTATTCTTTTATAAATCGTTGTGAAACCTTGTAATTCATTCAGCGAATTGCCACCACCATCTACAGCTCCCCCGACATTATAAGAGGGAATGGGACTGCAAAATTTTAAAACTTAGAATTCAAAACCCAAGACCAAACAATATTTACATTTCCCATTTTTTTTATATCCGAAGATAAAAAAAAACCCAGACACTGAAACTAATAAGTATGTATCTGACCCCCACCCCCTTTCAATGCAGTGTATATCAGGAAAGTACTTTGCGATTCCTGGAACATCATCTGTACCGTCAGAGCGATTTTTTCTTGGTTAAGTGGTAAAGTTGCCAGATGATGCTTTTTTTATGTAAATAAGATTGATTATATTATTTGTATGTTGTTCGAGAATTTTTTTTACTCATATAGAGACGTCACCATATACATGTACCGGTGAAGGGCCTCAAATTTAGACCTTTACTCGGGGGGGGGGGGGGATTGAGCAGTGAGGGTTCTTTATTTACCGTGACACGAGGCCTCGATTTTTAAGGTCTCATCCGAATGACCCGCAACTTTCACATCAAAGTGCCGAGCGCTTGGCGAAGGAACAGTTGCTACCTATTTTTTATCAACTTAGGTCAGTCATGATTCGAATACACGACCTTCCGATCACGGTGCGAGCGCTCTACTAACTGTGCTTCCGTGACGGTATGTAAATAAGAATAACAGCAGAAAAGCGAAATTTATGACTGTCGGTGAAAATTAAGTTTTGTTTGCAATTGCTATAAAAAGCAAAATAAATGCTCATGCTAAAATCTTTTTCTAATTTGATTGAAAAGTAAAGAATTCTTATTATCATAGTTTAGCATTTTTCACAAATTGCTTTGTAAGAATAGAATTTGATATAATTAATAAAAATCCTTATTTGTTCGATTAAAAGGTTACTCGGTCGGGGGGGGGGGGGATAAGCTTAACCGGATCAATATAAAAAACCAGAAGTCTCTGTCGAGACTGTAACGCTAATGGTTTGTACTTATGACAAAGGAAGAGAAGAGTAGCACTTGGACTTGAAACTTTGCAACAACAATAAATAATACATGTACTCCTTGTTTTACTCTCTTTTTGTGGCAAGATGCATTGCAATCAGACTAAAACTGTAGAAGGAGTAGCCTTTTAAAAGAATTTTTGAGAAATTTCGATTTTAGTTACCATGACAACATCATTCATCAAAATAAAAAAAAAACAATAATGACAATTATGTTTCTCAGTGTTGTCTACTTGCATGCCACGTTATATTAAAATCAGACCAAACTGTAGGCGAAGTAATGTTTTGAAAGTATATCAAAGACATTTCAAATTTTTTGTAACCATGGTAACACTACACCAAAATCAAAAAAATGGATACACAGAATTATGTATCTCAGTGTAGTCTACTTGTGTGCCAAGTTATATTGAAATCAGACCAAAACTGTAGGAGGAGTAGCGTTTTGAAAGTATCTCACAGAAAGAATGAAGGCGCGGACGATCCCCCGCTCTAAGAGAAGATATTTTTCAATTCTAAAAGTTCATGAAAAGTTATATTTTTCAAAAATTATATTGTCAATATAATCTACTCATTGTTTCCTATATTTTGTTTGAATAAATTGACAAATAAGTAATTTTTCAGTAATGTTTTTAAGGTATGTGAAAAAGAAAAAAAAAGTTTCACACATGATTCGAACTCTCTTCAAAGCTCACAGTTAGGCGTAAGACTGAACGCGTTAACCACTCCGCTAGTAAGTCTGACTTGTTTGATGTCGGTGTGATTTAAATAAACGAATTTGTTGAAGCATAACATTTTTTCAGAAATGTTCGATTTTCATGTTGAATGGGTTGAGACTCCATTTTTTGAAACATGAAATATATTTTACATTACTTTTCCCTCATATAAACGTTAATAAAGAATGGAGACTTGACCCATTCATATTCAAAAATCATTTTTTATGGCTCTAATAAACCCATTTTCCACTAAATATGCTTTACTCTCAACTTTAAAAACAAATTATCAATCAAAAAGTCATTAGATAAAATAACTGAATCAAATGTGTTGAAGATGACATTACGGAAAACATTATTTTAGAAAAATATAACTTTTCTGTCAACTTTAAAAATTGAGAAATATATTGTACCAGAGCGGGGGATTGTCCTCGCCTTGGACGCCTCATTTCTTTCTATTTTTAGTAACCTTGGCAACACCGTTCATCGAAATCAAAAACCGAATTATGTATCTTAGTGTAGTCTACTTATGTGCTAAATTATATTGAAATCGGACCAAAACTGTAGGAGGAGTAGCATTTTGAATGTATTTCATAGAAATTTTTAATAACCTTGGCCACACCGTTCACCGAAATCAAAAACGATATACAGAATTATGTATCTTAGTGTAGTCTACACGTGTGCCAAGTTATATTGAAATCAGACCAAAAGTGTAGGAGGAGTAGCATTTTGAATGTATTTCATAGAAATTTTTAATAACCTTGGCCACACCGTTCACCGAAATCAAAACCGATACACAGAATTATGTATCTTAGTGAAGTCTACTTGTGTGCTAAGTTATATTGAAATTAGACCAAAAGTGTAGGAGGAGTAACATTTTGAATGTATTTCAAACAAATTTCTATTTTTAGAAACCAAGACAACACCGTTCATTGAAATCAAAATCCTATAAACAGAATTATGTATCTTAGTGTAGTCTATTTGTATGCCAAGTTATATTGAAATCGGACCAAAACTGTAGGAGGAGTAGCATTTTGAAAAAAATTCTTACAGACAGACGGACGGACGACGGACATCTTACTATCGCATAAGCTCTTCTGGTCTCTGACCAGTAGAGCTAATTATCCGATTGCCATCCTTAGAACTTCTATCATTTATTGATTTCTTGGCAGTATCTTATATATAGTGTATAAAGGGGATGGCAAAAGAAGTCAGAGTTTTGAACATCATAGAAATTTTACAATTTCTTAATATTTAAGGAAGTTAATATTTGCAAAATGAATAGAAAAAAACCCCGAATTCCAATCCTCTTGAACTTTTACAACTGAAATAAAATGTAAACGTTATGACGTCTACATGTATATTAACTTTTTTATCGTTAAAGTTACTTGTGTAGCAATATACGTTTTTCACCTGCATATTGGATTTATATCTTCCGGTTGATTCGATACGCGAGAGCATGATCAACATACAAACAACTTATAAAACAAGGCAAGCTACTGACAAACAAGTCGATGAAACAAGGATATGAAGAGTCTCGTTTAAAATCATCATTTCGCAAGTTCTATGGTCAATACAATGACCTTGTCAGCAAATACAATCTATCATTGTCTACGGATTTTTTTGACACGGCGGGCGTGACCGGTCGACAGGGGATGCTTTCTGCTCCATGGCACCTGATCCGACCTCTGATGTTTTTTTTAGAAGTCCGTGTTTGCTCTGTCCCCGATTCGTATTGTTTCAATGGACTTTTGAGCTTGATTAGCGTTTGTTATCTCCATATATCACACGTAACTTATATTCATACTATTCATTTATTTCATTCAAACACAGAAAATTACTAACTGTGTATTGTTGAATTATTTCCTAAAATTAATTAGATAGGTAGTGCCGTCTGATCTTAATATTTAGCTCCCTATCAGTTGTAGATCACAGACGAATTCTTTGAAGAAAATTTAGGGAGAAATCGCATCAGATGTAAAAATATGTATATGATGTTATAAGAAGTATGCGTAATTCAGTTTCATGATTAAAAGTTTGGGAGGTAGAATT